TATATATAAAAACGAAGAACGACCCCCACTCCCTTACTACAAGCACTTGTACTTGTGGCTCCGTTAAAGAGACGCACGCGTTGAGAAACCTCGTTTGCTTGTTTGAGTAAAGAGAAGTACATCGACACAATAATTGTTATGTAGTGTAGTGAGAAAAACAAAAACAAGACAGACAGACAGACAGACAAAAACAACAGAGGGGAAAGTATTTTAAAAAAGAGTTGGATCTACCAGAGGTGCCTTTCAACCAACCGCTGTGTGAAACCAATGACACTCAAAGTTAAGAGAGAAAAGGAAGGCAGTCCACAGAAATAAATCAATAATATATATGGGAAAACAATTAAAGCAGGGCGTGAGGACGGTAAACGGTAGACCCAGACCAGTTGCCGTGAATCAGTAATGGCAGAGCCCCAGTTGGAAAAATAGTGAGACGAACACTTGGATTTTCAGTTCAGCCTGACTGATGACATCTCAGAAACGGGAGTTTTGTTTGAGTAAAAAGAAGGACATCAACACAGTAATGGTCATTCAGTGCTGGGGAAAAGACAGACAGACAGACAGACAGACAGACAGACAGACAGACAGACAGACAGACAGACTTGAGACAGACAGACAGACAGACTTGAGACAGACAGACAGACAGACAGACAGACAGACAGACAGACAGAGAGACAGACAGACAGACAGACACAGAAACAACAGAAATAAAGTAAAGAAGGACCCACTAGTGGTACCCTCCAACCACCCGCTCACAATTGGAAGAGATTTTAACAGTTTAGCTTGACTGACGACACCTATGAAATGGATCAGTGAACCTCCATCGACATGATGGAGACGTGAAAATCGAAGGGCTTAAATTTTGCAATTGCTTTTCTCTTAAGCAACTAGAGTTGTTTGCTCGAGTAAAGAGAAGCACATCGACGCAACAATGCCCATTTAGTGCTGGGGAAAAGTAATACAGACGGACAGACGGAAACCACAGACGGGAAAGTAAAGAAGTACCTTCCAGTGGCGCCCCCCCCCCCCCCCCCCGAAACTACCCGCAACAGACGATGTCAATCGGGATGAAAAGACAGAATGACCGTCGATAGATCGATAAATCGATAGGTAGATAGAGAAACGCGAGAAATCCGGACAAGAAGCTGGAGTAAAAAAAAAAGCCCTCGAAAACTCAAATCCGGCCCCGTACATTGAACGTCCAGCGCGATGCTGCCAAATCGCTTCACTCAGACAGCGCACGCACGGGCAGCTGTCACGATTCTGT